ACTTGTACAGTTGTTTTGGAATCCAGTATAGAATCTTAACATTTATTCCTCATAAATTTCTTCTTCTTAGATGTCAGGTCTATTTGGATCTATGTTCTGTTGGCTAATGTTTCTGCTGTCTTCTGCAGCTTTGTATCATCTGCAGAGCTGAAGGGCCTGCCCCCAGTATCCTCATCCTGGTCTTATAACATACCTCTAGAAACCTCCCTCCAGGTAGACCTCATTCCATTAAGGAGTATACTCTGGTGTGGTTGTTCAACCAGTTGCTAATTTAGCTAACTGAACTAGCGTATATTTTTTGGTTTTGTTCTCAAAATCATGAAAGAATTGTAAAATCCCTTACAGACATCTAATTAAACATCATTTGTTTTCCTAATCTGCAGGTCTTCTAAATACATCAAAAAAAGAAACAAGATTAGTCTGTGACATGTCTTGTTAACCCATCCATTGTAGTCTTAGAGTTCACTAAATCCTGTTCTAAGTATTCATAAAGCAAATCTTTAATAATTTGTTTTAGAATGTTATCTGAAATTAAAATTAACCTTACCAGAATGTTGGTAGAATTTACTGTCTTATTTTTGAAAACAGTCTTTGTCCAGTTTTGTGGCACTGGCAATGGTTTAAGGATCTCATTCGCAAATTCTTTTAAATATCTTGGAACATAATCATTTGGTCTGGGAGAGATGTGAACTATAAATTAGCTAGGCCTCCTTTTTTTTCTTAATTTTTTTTAAAGACTGTTTTTTTAGAGCAGTTTTACAAGACAGGTACAGAGACAGGTACAGAGGTTTCCCATATATACCCCTCCCCAGTACCTCCGTAGCCTCCCCCATTATCAACTTCCCCCAGCAGGGTGGTGTATTTGTTATAATTGATGAACCTATATTGACACATCATTATCACCCAAAGTCCTTAATTTACCTTAGGGTTCCCTCTTGGTTTTGTACATCCTGTGGGTTAGAACAAATCTGTGATGACATGTTTTCGGTCATTATAGTATCACATAGAGTAATTTCACTGCCCTAAAAATCCTGTGTGCTTTGCTTATTCATCCTCCCTTCCCAACCCCTGGCAACCACTGATAATTTTACTGTCTCCATAGTTTTGCCTTTTCCAGAATGTCATATAATTGGAATCTTGCAGTACAAAGCCTTTTCAGATTGGCTTCTTTTACTTGGTAAGACATTTTCTCCATGTCTTTTCATAGCTTGACCGCTCATTTCTTTTAGCACTGAGTATTATTCCACGGTCTTCCTGGACCATGGTTTATTTATCCATTCACCTACTGAAGCATATCTTGGTTGCTTCCAAGAATTGACACTTAAGAATAAGGCTGCTGTAAACATCCATGTTCAGATTTTTGTGTGGGCGTTAAGTTTTCATTCCATTTGGGTAAATACCAAGGAAGGCAATTGCAGGATTGTATGGTAAGGGTGTGTTTAGTTTTGTAAGAAGCTACCAAAGGGTCTTCCAAAGTGACTGTATCATTTTGTATTCCCACCAGCCATGAGTGAAAGTTCCCTTTGCCCCACATCTTCTCCAACATTTTGTGTTCTCAGTGTTCTGGATTTTGACCCTTCTAATAGATGTGTGGTAGGATTTCATTGTTGCTTTAATGTCGGCAGTTGCCTGATGACATATGATCTTGAATGTCTTTTCATCTGTTGCTTTACCATCTGCTTCTCTGGTGAGGTATCTGTTAAGCTCTTTAATCCATTTTTAATCAGGGTGTTTATTCTCTTATTGTTGAATTTTTAGAGTTGTTTATTTTGAATAACAGTTCTTTATCAGTTGTGTTTTTTGCAAATATTTTCTCCCAGTGTGTAGTTTGTCTTCTCATCCTCTTAACATTGTGTTTCCCAGATCAGAAGTTTTGTTTTGTTTTGTTTTGCTTTTTTTAGTGACATCCAACTTACCATTCTTTCTTGTACAGATTGTGCCTTTGGTGTTATATCTGAAACATCATTGCCATACCCAAGGTCATCTAGAATTTTCTCCTATGTTATCTTCTGAGTGTTTTAAGGTTTTGCAATTTACATTTAGGTCTGATCCATTTTGAATTAATTTTTGTGAAGGATGTGTCTGGATTTTTTTTTTAACTTGGGGATATCCAGTTGTTCCAACATCATTTGTTGAAAAGACTATCTTTTCTTCATTGTATTGCCTTTCCTGCTTTGTTAAAGGTCAGTCGACTGTATGTGGGTCTGTTTGTAGGCTCTCTGTTCTGTTCCATTGGTCTGTTTCTTTCATTGCTGCCACACTGTTTTGAAGTTGGGTAGAGTCAGTTGTTCAACTTTGTTCTTCTTTTTCAATATTGAGTTACCTATTCTGTGTCTTTTGCCTCTCCCTGTAAACTTTAGAGTCAGTTTGCAGTATCCACAAAGTAACTTGCTGGAATTTTGTTTGGGATTGCATTGAATCTATAGTGCAAGTCAGGAAGAACTGACACCTTGGTAATATTGAGTCTTATCTTATATTTCTCCATTTATTTAGTTAGTTCTTTTATTAGAATTGTATAGTTTTCCTCATACAGATCTTGCACTTTATTTTTAATGAAAGTACCGGGGATTGTACTCAGGACCTCATGCATGCTAATCATATGCTCTACCACTGAGCTATTCCCCTCCCTGAATCTGGTACGTATTTTGTTAGATTTATAGCTAGGCATTTCATTTTTTTGGTGTTAATGTAATGGTAATATGCTTTTAATTTCAAATTTTGCTTATTCATTGCTGTTGTATGGGAAAGTGACTGACTTCTGTATATTAATCTTGTATCTTGCAAACTTTCTAAAATTGCTGCTTAGTTCCAGTGTTTTGGTTTTTTCTTTCTTTTTTTTTTTCCCAATGTTTTTGATTTTCTACATAGACAATCATGTCATCTACCAACAAAGACAGTTTTCCTTCTTCCTTTCCAATCAGTGTGCCTTCTATTTCCCTTTCTCATCTCATTGTATTAGCTAGGTGTCCTTTTTCAGTTCCTTCTCTTATTTTCTATATCATTCACCTTTCCTGTTTGTTCACTTTTCAGTCTGAATAACATTCTCCTTTTTAAATCAGACAAATGAGACTTGAGAATGCTATGTTTCATGAAACAGCACATATAATTAATTGCATGTAAAGAAATTGAGTACTTAAATATTTATAGACTTTCAGGTAAAGTTAATTTTCATCCAGCCTTTTGAGAGTTTGAACAGGATGAAAAGATGAAGAGAGGAGACAGGTTGTAGACAAAATCTGGCATATGGTAAGAAAATATTTATAGAGAGCTAGAGTAATTACGTGAGCTTTATTGGAGTGAAAGATCATTATGCAAAGAGGAGGAATTAGTAAAAGTTTGGATCATTAGAGGAGAACAAGACTTAAGTGCTGTATTTGTAGCACCTCAAGTTGTGTGGAAATTTACACTAAAAAATCATTTTCATGTAACCTTCCGAGATAGATGAGAGGTATTCTTATTTTATGGATGGAAAAAATTAATACTTAGGTTAAGAAGTGGACCAGTTCCATATAACAGAATGTTATCCAGTTAGGACTAAAACTCGTTATCTTGTATTTCCAAGGTCCTTGTTCTTCACTGATACTCTTGCATTCCTGTTGCCCAACCATAGTACTCTGTACTTGTAACTCTTATAGTTTATTATCTTTTCATGTGTATTATCTGATTTGATTCTCAAAAACCTTGTGAGGTATATATAGTTCAGGTATTATTATGATCTCATTTTACAGATAAGGAAAATGAAGATAAGAGAAGGTAAAGTTAAGGATGTAAAGCAAGAATATGAAGGTGAATATATGTATGTGTGTGTGTGTATATATATATAGTGTGTGTATTATATATAGTGTATATATATATGTGTGTGTATATATATATATGATTGGGACATTGTGCTGTACATCAGAAATTGACACATTGTAACTGACTACTTCAATTTAAAAAGTAAAATAATTTTTTAAAAGGATGCTTTCTTAATTCTATCACTTATTTTCTATATCTACTTGCCTTTCCTGTTCATTTTTCTCTTTTCAGTCTAAATATTAACTTTTTCCATTAAACTGAGGCTGAAAGAAGTTACGTAGGTTTAAAAGGTCAGCACTTTTAACACAAGGTAGGTAGAAAGAACAGATTCAGACTGAAACTTATTTCTTCTGGTTGCTGTTTTCTTACCAATAATTCTGTTCTGGAACAGAGTACCTACCGGAATACCACAAGTTTTTTGACACTTGTTCATACCTTGATTAAGAATTATTCTGGTAGATGTGTGCAGGATTATTTGGAGAGATCGGAGGTGGAGGTTGGTGGTATCAGCTGTGATGTGGCCATGTTAACATAATTTGTTAATGGACTTAAAATTCATATGAAACAAGTGTGAAATGATGACATTCCTGATGAAGGTGAAGGTTTTTATATTGAGATATTCCCACTTTTAAAATGCACAGGATGAAGTGTTTTACTCTCAATCCTACCAACATTTATATAATTTAATAGTGTTCAGAATGTTTTGATTTACTTGATAATACTTTAAAAATAGGAACCAAATCTACCTTTTTTTATTATCCCCATAACTTGTGTTTAAGGTGTGAGTGAGACGGGAAGAAAACAATTCATATTGTGTAGATGTTTTATGTTCCTTTTATCTGTTCTAAATAGCTGCTGTGAGCCATTCTGAAGTGTTCACACATTAACTTCTTGGGGCTACTGTAACAAATTACTGCAAACTCCATTGCTTAAAACAACAGAACTTTATTCTCCCAGTCATGGAGGCCAGAAGTATAATGGGGCTGAAATTAAGGTGTTGGCAGGGCTGTGCTCCCTCTCTAGGGGACAATGTGTTCCTTGCCTCTTCCAACTTCTAGTGGCTGCCGGTGTTAACTGTTTGTGGCTGCACCATACCAATCTCTGCCTCTCACCTCTCTTCTCCTGTCTGTTTCAAATCCCTTTCCGCCTTCTTATAAGGTACATGTGATTGCACTCAAGGCCCACTTAGATATTCCAAATAATCTCCCTGTCTCAAATCCTTAATCGTATTTGTAGAGTCTTCTTTTTTATTTTTTTTCACCGTGTAAAGTACCATTTAAAGGTTCCAGGGATTAGGATGTTGGTGTCTTTTGGGGGAGAAGTCATTTAGCCGACCACAGTCCTTATTGCCTCTTACCTTTCTTCTGTTTTTCTTTCTCATCTGTCTTCTCTCCTATTTTTATTCTTTTTCATCTTCCAGAAGCACTAAGTGTCAAGCAGACTGAGTGGGTATGATCTAAACTTATCAAGAACTGAGTTGATATGATCTAGGTCAGTAAGCGAGCCTTATTGCCCTCCCTATAGAACACCAGATTGTGTTCTCACTCATCTTTTGTTATCATTGAATTAGTTGACAGTAATGGTATCTTTGTTAAATTCAGCACCTTTTATCAAAATAATGAATCCTTGGATAAAGTATGTGAGTTAACATGAAATTTCTTTGTGCGTAAAGCATCTGTTGATTAGATTGGCAGGCTTTGATATCATTATTGAGAAAATAGCCAAACAGCTACTAGCATTGTTTCAAGAATAATTTTCCTATAAGGGAGTTTTTTTCTCCCCTTCACATTTGTATTTTGTTTCAGTGATAGCTCAGACTTGAATTTAATGAAAGGAAATAGAAATATTGGCCGAGTTTTCTTGGCAAAAGTTCAGTGTCAAGAGACTTTTATGGTTTGGGACATATTACATAACCTTTGGGCCTTTGTTTCCTGATATCTATAACAAAGAAGTTTTTTTTTAATTGAAAAATAGTTAATTTACAATGTTGTGTCAATTTCTGGTGTATAGCATAGTGTTTCAGTCATACATATACATACATATATTCGTTTTCATATTCTTTTCCATTATAGGTTACTACAAGATATTGAATATAGTTCCCTGTGCCATACAGAAGAAACTTACTGTTAATAAAAGAGTTGAATGATTGTTAATATCCCTTGTAACTCTTAAAGCTTCTGTCTAGTATAAAGTATTTAAAACCCATCAAACAAGCAAATAAAGAAGTCTCATTTAGTTTATGCTATTTGAAAAAGGAATCATTGGTAAGATTATTTTGAAATAACCGTTCATGCTTTTTGTTTTTTTGTAGATGGACCACACATCCCCGACCTACATGCTTGCTAACTTAAGCCACTTACATTCTGAGCAACTTCTGCAGGGCTTAAATCTTCTTCGTCAACATCACGAACTCTGTGACATCATTCTTCGAGTAGGTGATGTTAAAATCCATGCTCACAAAGTGGTACTTGCCAGCATCAGCCCATATTTCAAAGCCATGTTCACTGGAAACCTTTCCGAAAAAGAGAACAGTGAGGTTGAGTTTCAGTGCATTGATGAAACTGCTCTCCAGGCCATCGTGGAATATGCCTATACTGGGAGTGTTTTTATTTCGCAGGACACAGTTGAATCTCTCCTTCCAGCAGCAAACCTACTCCAGATAAAACTTGTCCTGAAAGAATGTTGTGCATTTCTTGAAAGCCAGCTTGATCCTGGTAATTGTATTGGAATTTCTCGTTTTGCAGAGACGTATGGCTGTCATGACCTTTATTTGGCAGCCACTAAATACATATGCCAGAATTTTGAAGCTGTGTGCCAGACTGAAGAGTTTTTTGAGCTTACACACGCTGATTTGGATGAAATTGTTTCCAATGACTGTTTGAATGTAGCTACTGAAGAGACTGTTTTTTATGCACTTGAGTCTTGGATCAAGTATGATGTCCAAGAACGCCAGAAGTACTTAGCACAGCTACTTAACAGTGTGCGACTACCATTGCTGAGTGTTAAGTTCCTTACTAGATTGTATGAAGCAAATCATCTTATTCGTGATGATCGCACTTGTAAACATCTTTTGAATGAAGCTCTAAAGTACCACTTTATGCCTGAACACAGACTCTCTCATCAGACAGTCTTGATGACACGGCCTCGCTGTGCTCCCAAAGTACTTTGTGCAGTAGGAGGAAAATCTGGACTGTTTGCCTGTTTGGATAGGTAAATAGAAGGCTTTTAAAGGATTAATACTAATAGATTTTATACTTTCTAAATTTGCTAATTTTTTATATTTTGAAAAGTTTGATTCTTCTGTTTACATTCTTTATTTGTTTCTTTTTATTTTTTCTCTTCTTCCCAAAACAGTTACCTGATTATTTTAGTCACAGTGTCATCCATTTTCTACAACACTCTCAATTATTAACACCCTTCCTCCCTCCCAGTGCACAAATCTTACCTATCCTGGTTACTCATGAACTTTTCTGCCATTTTTTGCCTTTTTTTTTTTCCTTTGTGAAATCATTTACATCTTTATTTGAGGCAGACCAGGTCAGAGGGAATTTATTATTGCTAGCTATATCAGAAGATGCCAAAGAGGAGAACCAGGAATCTGTGATGAGGGCAGACTGGGACAAGATTGTGTTTGAATGAATGCAATTCATCAGAATAACCTAACCAAGGAAGTAAAGTTGAATACTGATACAAATCATGGACTTCCCCTGCAATTTATTTTCTTCAGCATAAATACTGTGTAATAACAGTAGTAAGAAGTACTCTTTTCTAGTAACTTAGGGTTTGGAGTTAATCAGACTTTTTCTGTAAAGAGCCAGGTAGTAAATATTTTGAACGTTGTGGCCATGTGCTCTCTGTTGTAACTACTCAACTCTATGTTGCAGTGAGAGCAGCCATAGACAATATGTGAACTAATGACATGGCTGGGTTGCAGAAAAGCTGTATTTACAAAAGTAGCTGGTGGGCAGCATCTGGCCGGTAGCCATAGTTGACTTAGAGCATTCTACAGGTAGTTTTTATACATTGAAAATATAGCTGGATGTTACCTTTGCTTTTCCCTTAAATGGGATTGCTTTATGAAAACTTTTGTCTTTAATATATTTCTTTAATATTGTGGATTTCTTTCTGGACATTTCCAAACATTTGGTAGACTGTGTTTCCCCCCTCCAATAGGAGGAAACTGTTGATATTTTATCGACTGATATATTCTGTATCTTTTAAAAAGTCTCAGTGTATATTTTAATTGTGTTCAAAAACTAGCATTGTTGAGATTGGGCTACAGGCAGAACATTAGTTATGGTAACTACATAAATTGATTGTTTACTCTTACTCTTAAAGGTATTATTGGCATGAAGGTAATCATATTAGTCAAATATGACAAAAAGTCCAAATATGAATTTACACTATAAATATTGAGCAGTTGCCTCTTGGTTTCTCAGGTATTAAAATTAACAAATTATTTTTTTCTTTTTTTTAATTGAAGTATTGTCGATTTACAGTATTGTGTTAATTTCTGGTGTACAGCATAGTAATTCATTTATACATACATACATTTCTTTTCATATTTTTCATTATAGGCTATTATAAGGTATTGAATATAGTTCCCTGTGCTATACAGTAGGACCTTGTTGTTTATCTATTTTATATATAGTAGTTAGTATCTGCAAATCCTTAACTCCCAATTTATCCCCCCACCCCCTTTCCCTCCCTTGGTAACCATAGGTTTGTTTTCTGTGTCTGTGAGTCTGTTTTGTAAATAAGTTCATTTGTGTCTTTTTTTTTTTTTTTTTAGATTCCACATATAAGTGATATCTTATGATACTTTTCTTTCTCTTTCTGGCTTACTTCACTGAGTATGATGATCTCCAGGTCCATCCATGTTGCTGCAAATGGCATTATTTTATTCTTTTTTATGGCTGAGTAGTATTCCAGTGTGTGTGTGTGTGTGTAATCAAAACTTTTTTATCCAGTCATCTTATTGATGGACATTTAGGTTGCTTTGATATCTTGGCTATTACAATCATAAATTATTGAAGAGTCATAAAAACTCTTCATATCTTTAAGCTTATTAATCTTTCATCTTAGAATCTATCCTAAGAAAAAAAATTTTAATGTTATTTGCACAAAGCAATTTATTCTAATATTATTTATAACTATGGAAAAATTAGTGAATCAACCTGAATATTCTGTTTATTTCTACAAAAAATATTAAACAGCTGTGCATCAGACACATTATGCTAGATAATTGATCTTCAACATGTTCATAATTTAGTAAATTAGACAAATCTATAAATACATAATTATAACACAGTGTTACTGCAGTGATAAAGATAATTCTGTGGAAGTTTTAAGGAGAGAAATTTATCCCATTTGGGGGATTTAGGGAAGGTATTGTGGAGAAGTTAAGGTCCAAGCTGAATATTGAAGGCTAAGTAAAGAGCCAGGCAAAAACGATGGGAATGTCACAGGAAGTGCATGAAGACACAGTGGCATGATAGTGTATAGGTGTGCAGGAAACAAAGCTGTTTGGTAATTAACAGTACAAAGTTCTAACCAGCAGGTGGCAGGCAGTGGTTATTATGGGCCAGGTATTGTGTGCCATGATGAAGAGAGTATTTGTATTATGAGGGTTGAAAAACTATTTAAGGAGGACAGTGGAATTTTCAAGTTTGTATGTTAGGTCATTCTTGGTTGCATTATGGAGAAAGATCAAGGATATAACAGTTAGTATCAGAGTGACTAAGAAAGAGGTTATAAAAGTACAGGCAAGAGATTATAAGGTCCTGAATTAGGGTAGAAGTAGTAAAGGTAACGAATGGGGCATTAATTTAAGAAATGTTTTAAGAGAGTAGATTGACAAGATTTGGTTGAAAGAATTATGGGGATATGGTGAGAGGGAAGAGTCAAAGAGGAGTGAGATTTCTTGGTTAGATATTGGATGAGTGGTTATACTGAGAGAGAATATGGCAGGAGGAATCATTTTAAAGGGGGAAATAATGTGTTTAGTTTTGGACATACTGGATTTGAAGTCTTTATAAAATATCCAAATGAAGGATGTCCTACTACTAGCTGGATATGATTGTGAAGCCTAAAGAAGAGATCAGGGCTGGAAATTTGAAAGTTATCATCATATAGTATAATTTAGAGGTATAGATTAAAACCATGACATCCTCTGGACTTCTGGATCAGTTTGCTTATCCCTCCTTTCTGTCCAGTGAGAACATATAGAAGGGAAAAGGGATTGATTTATAAATGAACTTTTGGGGAATATTAATATTTGAGATGAAGGCAGTAGGAACAATCTTAAGGTAGGAGATTCAAGAAAGAATAGTGTCATGAAAGCCAAGGAATTTAAATATGTCAAGAAAGGAGTGTGATTAACAATGTAAAATGCAGTGGAGAGGTCCTGATAGGTAAGGATAGAAAGAAAGGTGGCTGCTAGACTTGGCAGTAATGGAGATCATCAGTGACTTTTGGTGGAGTAATTTCAGCAGAGTTACAGTAATGCTATAGACAGATTACAGTGGGTTGAGAAGTGTGTAAAAAAGTAAGGAAGACTGTGAAGACTGTTCTTTTAAGAAACTTGTCTGAGATGAGAAGGAGAGAGAGATAAGGCAGAAACTGAGAGTCAAGGGAAGTTTTTATTTTGTTTTTAGGGAGACTTAAGTATGTTTCTTACCAGATACCAGTAAAGAGGGTAAAGATATAGGATAGAGGAATGGTCTTGATGGAGCAAGGTTTTAGAGGAAATAGAGGATGGTATCAAAAGCAAGGGTAGAAGGTTTTGAATAGGAACAAGAGGGACTCTTCATGCCCCAAGACCAGAATATGAGGCTAGGTTTGCTAGAGGAAGAAAGAGTAGGAGCAGAAGTTTAAGATAGATCCTACCCAATAGCCTCAGTTTTTTCCTTTAACTAGAAGAGTTCTGCTGGCGAGGGAAGTGGGGATTGAGTAGGTGGAAACTGAAGGAAACTTGGGAAGCTCTGAGAGTAGTATTGTTTCTATTTACACATACAGAACCATAAGGATGGCAGTATACTGAAAGCAATGTTGAATAACTGTGCAAATACATGAAATGTGAAATGGACTTTTAGCCGTACCATTCATGGCACCATCTCAATGCCGTAAACTACAAATCTAATTTCAAGATAGAATCTCATTACAGCTGATTATCCATTTGCTCTTAAAGAACACAAGGACTAATGACTTTATACATACCTTCTTCTCTGTTTACTTAAATCATTTTCGGAAATCCATGACTTCTAGAAAGTCCATCATCATAACTGAACTCTTAACTATAATTGAGAGGTTTCTTTTCTCACACCTACCAATTCTCCAGCACTAACTGGGTGCCCAGTAATTCAGTTCAGTTTTGTCACTATGTAGAGTTAGCTCAGACCCACAGATTAAGGGCTCAGTTCCACAAGGACTATCCCCACTTCTGATGCTAGCCACAAATGGGGTGCCCAGGCTACCCACATTTCTGTCTGGGGGACTACAAATTCAGGGGTTCCCACAACACCCCCTCAGGTTTGATAATATGCTAGAATAACTGACAGAGCTCAGGAAAGTGCTTTGCTTACTGTTACCCATTTATTACAAAGGAACAACCAAATGGAAGAGATGCATTAGGCAAGGTGTGAGGGGCCCTCTCTATATCTCAGTATGTTCACCAGCCTGGAAACTCTCCAAACCCCATTTTTTAGGGATCTTTAGGGAGACTTCATTACGTAGACATAATTGATTAAATTATTGGTCGATGGTAATTGAGCTCAACCTCCAGCCCACTGATCACATGGTTGATGCTTCTGGCTACCAGCCCCCATCCTGAAGCTATCCCAGGGCCCACCAATAGTCACTCTATTAGCATAAACTTAGGTGTGGTTGAGCATAAGGAGCTCACTGTGAATGATGAAAGACATTCCTATCAGGAAATTCCAATGAGTTTAAGAGCTCTGTGCTAGAACCCTGGTACAAAAACCAAGTATATTTCTTACTATGCCATTATTGTATGACCCTATATATCATATAATTTAACCTAATTGCCCAGCCTTTTTAAAAAACTATTTTTTTCCCCTGCCTCAGGTTTATTTGTACAAACAGCACAGATAGACATGAGCCCCATGCAGACAGCAGCCCAGGGGTCACACTAGTCCTTATATCCTCACATCAATAGATGAAAGCCTTTACTCTGGAGCCTTTGTGGGGGCCTGGGCGCCTTTGGGAGCCTGAGCCTGAGCCTGAGCTGGAGCTGCAGCTGCAGCCTTGGTCTGAGCCTTGGCCTTGGCCTTTGGCCGACAGAGCCTGAGACCCTTGGCGACGCGGGGACGAGCACATTTCCCGAGCTTGGGGTGAGCAAGTCGACTGAGCTCGTGGCTGCTGCCCTTTGGAATCTTGGGCTTGACCTCCTTGGGATTTCCGAGAACCTTGACAGCCTCGGCAGGTGCACTCGTGGCCTTGGCGTTGTTGGCCTGCATCTTCAGGCCCTTCTTGTGCTTCTTGGCAAAGCGCATGTTCCTCAGGAACTTGGGGTCCGCCCCCTTAAGAGATACAGATCGCTGTGATCGGGGTTTTTTGATGCTGTTTCTGTGCCATTCTCGGGACTGGTTGTGTGTGGTGTGGTTCTTTGACTTGGCCATGCCTGCACCGGAACCGGGAGATCCTGAATCGCCTTGAACCGAAAGAGAAAGAGCAAAAAACTAATATTTTTTAAACTGAAGTATAATCAGTTACAGTGTATCAGTTTCTGGTGTACAGCATAATGTCCCAGTCATCCATACATTCGTTTTCATATTCTTTTTCATTAAAGGATATTACAAGATACTGAATATAGTTCCCTGTGCTGTACAGAAGCAATTTATTTTTAACTATTTTTATATATAGTAGTTAATATTTGCAAATTTTTTTTGACTCCCCAAATCTATCTGCCACATCCTCTAGAACTCACATTCTACCATAAGAAAAATTCCCTGAGGGGAAGGTAATAAGCTCAGTAGTAGAGCTCTTAGCATGCACGAGGTCCCGAGTTCAATTCCTGGTACCTCTGTCAAAAAAAGAAAAAAAAATTCCCTTTATCCTCAACTTTTTGTTCTAATGAAATAGGGCTGATGCTTAAGGATCCTGTTTTTGCTAAAGCGCTCTCAAAACTGTTTTTTTTTTTTCCCATACCTATGTATCACAGGTGCTGAGGGTTGGGTAAGTGCTCTCCTTACTCCTCATAGCCACTTCAAAATTTTTTCATCTCCCCTCCCTCAGAAATCTTACTTCAAGTGTTTGCTGTCAGGCTACATCACTTGATACTCCTCCTTGTTGCCATGATCTGCTGTCCCTTGAGTAACTTTATTTAAGATACTTTCTTTCTTATCGTTCTACATAAACAGTCACTCTTACTAGTTTCGGCATCCAAGTAGTATTATCCACAATTATCCAACACCTTCGCCTCTCTGCTTGATCTCACTTGTAACACTCTTTTCTGCCTTACTTTAAGCACCTATTCTCATGATCGTACCCTCAATCTTGTCCTTACCGATGACTCATATAACTTTCAAAATCTGGTCCCAGACATTCCATTCCCTGACCACCACCTCCTTTCGTACGGGCTTCTTTATTTCAGTGCGCCCACTCAATCATTCTTTATTCCTTTGAATACTTTTAATCCTTTGGCCCTATAATTATTCAGTAAAACTTACTAACTACCAACCACCACGTGTCCTCATCTTCACTCCACACTCAGCATCAGTTCCAGAAACATCACTGTCATCATTCCTTTGAATACACCCATGGCCCCCTTGCCCTTCTTTGCTTCAGTCACACTCATATAAGTCAGTTCAGTTCTCTGTCTCTGCCATTGCTACCCCTAAGCAGTGGAATGTGGTAGAGAACACATGTACCCATCTTAACTGGTCTCACTTGGGCCCTCAGTACTCCCAGCACCCCCTAACCTTTCCTTAATCAATTTGCTCTTTCACTTCCTTGGAGGACTGTTTCACACCTTCGATTCTCTCCATAAAAACATCCAAAGCCCCTTACCCTCACCTTCCAACTCTTAGCTGATGACCTTGTCTCTTCATTTGCTGAAAAGATAGAAGCAATCAGAAAACAACTACTTCATCTTCCCATCACCAAATCTACCCAGTTATTTCTAAGACCAACCCCTCCACTTCTCCACTCACTCACTAGCTTCCATTCTTTTGACTCTGCACAAGGACTGTACTCCTGCAGTTATCTTGTCTCTCCTGTATCATCACCTTCTGCCACTCTACTGCATCATTGTCATCAGCATGCAGACATGTCCTGGTTTAAACTTTCACATTAAATGAGTAGTACCTGAACTGCATGGTCTTCCTTTGCTCATCTTTATAGCTGCCTCCTTTATCTATTTTACTTTTTAGAGTAAAATCATTGGAAAAGTTATCTGTACCCCCTGTTTTCACTTCCTCATCTCTCATTCTTCTCTTGAACCACTACAGTCAAGACTTGTCCCTACCACCTCACTGAAACTGCTGTCATTAAAGTCAAATATTTCCCTCATGTATTGTTCTCATTGGAACGAATTTATGTTTATAAAACAAGCAGTACCTAGGCTTTCAGTAACTATTGAGTGAATGAATGTATGTTGATCATACTGGATCAAGAGTGTAAATTTTTATGCTATTGCATTATTAAGTTTGGGGACATTGGCTACTTTTTCCCAACTTTTGTTGATAATAAAATTTGTATACATGCAAGGAACCATATGTAATATGCATGCAGGGTATAAGGAATAGATACTCAAGTACCTATCAACCAGTTTAAGAAGTAGACTATTAACAATACCTTTAAAGTTCCCTTGTGCCCGTCCTTGATGCCATCTCCTTCCTTCCCCCAGAAGAAACCATTATTCTGAATTTTTAATGTATTATTCCCTTACTTTTTGTTGAAAATTTGCCACATATTATATGGCCCAATATATAGTTAGGTTTTATACATTTTTATATAAATGCAGTAATACCATATGTTTTCTTCAAAGATATATTTTCTCCTTGAGCAGTAAGTTTATGAAATTCATCTGTGAGATTGCATGAGAAAGTAGTTCATTTAGTTTCATTGGTGTATGGCATTATAGTATATGGGCATAATACAGTATTTTCTCTCTACGATGAATATGTTAACTATAAAAATTAATGGAAATGTTTCACGTTTACAGAAAGGTGCACAAATCCCAAGTGTATACAGCTCAATGAATTATCACAAAGTAAACATTACAAACAATTTCAAGAAAAGAACATGAGCAACACCCAGAAACTACTCTTGAGGTCCCTCCCTGTCCCCCTGATAGGTAACCACTGTCCTCATGTCTAATCTAGAGATCAGAGAGGTTTTTGAACTTGATAGAAATGAGACTATACAGAATATATTCTTTTGAACTTGATTTTTTTCCCCCTCAACATTGCATGTGTAAGGTTCGTCCCTGTTGCATGTAGTTGTAGTTTGTTCATTTCCATTTCTGTGTAGTTTTTTCTTATATGATATGCACAGTTTATCCATCTTATGATTGATGAAAAATTCAGATTGTTTCCAGTTTTTGACTATTAACAAATTATGCTACTGTGAACATTGTTATACATATACATATGTGTGCATTTCTCTTGACTGCATGTCTAGGAATAGAATTGCCCAGTCATAGGGTGGATATACCATATCTTATTTATCTGTTCCCCTTTTGATAGATAATAGGTCATGCTGCTATGAATATTTCTGTATTTGTGTTCTTTTGCAAAACTGACTGCAATGGAGTAGATACACAGGAATTAAACTGCTGAATCAGAGCACATGTGTATCTTCAGTTTTACCAGATACTGTTTATGAACCATTTTGATTTTTTAAATTTGATTTCTTCTGCTTATTCTATAGTGTGGAGATGTACTTTCCTCAGAATGACTCTTGGATTGGTTTGGCACCCCTAAACATTCCTCGCTATGAATTTGGAATATGTGTTTTAGACCAAAAAGTGTATGTTATAGGTGGCATTGAAACTAATGTGCGTCCTGGCCTCACTATCAGAAAACATGAAAATTCAGTAGAATGCTGGAATCCTGATACAAATACCTGGACTTCTCTTGAGAGAATGAATGAGAGCCGAAGTACCCTTGGAGTAGTAGTACTTGCAGGAGAACTTTATGCTTTAGGTGGTTATGATGGACAGTCTTATTTACAATCTGTAGAGAAGTATATTCCCAAGATAAGAAAATGGGAACCTGTGGCACCAATGACTACAACAAGAAGTTGTTTTGCCGCAGCCGTGTTGGATGGAATGATATATGCCATCGGTGGGTATGGTCCTGCCCACATGAACAGGTATTTAACTTAATCAAGTTGTAGATGCTTGTAGAGTTTTAAAAGTATCGTTAACAATGATTTCTGGGTTTTTTTTTTTAACAACTTGTGTATGTGAATGAACTTCCCTTTTAATTTTTGAAGTAACTTTGATAGGCATTTGGGAAACTTAATCTGCTCCACAAATGTAATTGTTTCCGTGGGAATTTAATACAAACCTAAGAATGAGATCTCACCTATTAAATTTTACATTCATTTATTCAGTATAAATGGACTAGATTTTAAAATTCAGAAACCTGGAAGTATGATGGAATTGGACAACTTTAGATTTTGGATGGAGTGTGTGTGTATGTGTGTATGAATATGTATGTGTGTCGTGCTTGCTTCAGCAGCGCATATACTGAAAATGTATGTGTGTGAATGATCTGTTTTATTACATTGCTTAATAGAATTAAAAAGTAAAAATGTAATTTCTGTATGCTTACATAATATTACGATGCATCATAAACTTTAAGCCTTATGTAAATCTTCCTTCCTGGATCCTTATTCTATAATCATATGTGTATCATTATGTATCTGAGCTGTGCTGGAGTTTAAATCTGAGATTTCTGTATTTATAGTATTCTCTGAATAAAGGAGAAATATATATAAGAAAAAATAAAAGCATAGAATGACGGCTTATATGGAAAATTAATCATAATTCTGAACCTTTGTTGAAAGTTGATGTTCTAAAGAGTTTATCTCTAATTGTATCTTCCCTCTAATAATGGTATGTATTTTATTGGTTGTGAGCATTTTAATGAAAGAGTTTATAATGGTTTGTTAACAGACTGAGACAGTAAGGAACAGCATTTCATCTATAAAGTTTTATTTCTGTGCAGGCTAAATTACTCCCCATTTTTATTACTCTCTTAGTTAAAGGAAAAGTATTTGGGGGCCCTGACATGCATTTCTATTCTTTGAGAAACTGCTAGCAGAAATTTATAAGATAAAAGGTGAAGTAATTTAATTTTGAGGTAATACTCTTGACGTTTAAGTTCTTGCTACCCTTCTTGTCCAGTGATTTTGTGCTAGTTATTTATCCTGGTATCCTTTCAAAAATCTTTATAGTTTAGTCTTCTAGTCCAGTTTACAGTCTAGTCCCTATTCTGAACTCCAGAATTATGTTACTGACTTTCACATGCTTTAGGCTTTCTTGAGAAGTTAGTAACAGAACAGCTCAACAAACTTGCCTTTGTTACCCCTTCAGGGCAAAGCTTAGGCTTAAAGGCCTTTTCCAGAGAAGCTTTTCTGGAAATTCTGATTTGATTTGGATTTCCATAATGCAGCTTGGAAATGCCAAGGGTTCTCTGGAATAAAGATTTGATTTAAATCCCTGAATTCTCCTAAATCACTCTGTGATTATTATGATTAGCCAATTTGTGTTACGAAATCTGCAGCGTTTGCTTTGCAGTAAGCCACTGTGAATTCACCTTGAAGAAAAAATTCCTCTTTCCTTCTCTTCCTTCATCTTCTCTTTTCCTTAGCTGCGTGGAAGATCCTTTGTATCTTTAGGAAACATCTATATTCAGCTTGTGATTTTCAAAAGCCTTTCACATGCATACTCATTTGACCTTATTCTTACATGAATCCTTGAGGTTGTAGTATCCCTATGTTTGCAGGTGAGAGGAAGTGGCTTATCTGGGATTACACAAATCCAAACTGGCAGGGCTAGGCTTCATTTGGCTCTAGGTATGCAATATTAGTACTTAATCAGATCTTCTGACTCTGAATGTTCTGTTCCCTTAAGACACCTCGCTGCTTGGCAGCATAGTGGAGTAGGATAAGGGTGTTATTGCACCAGTCTACAGGATAAGGTTTTATCCCTGCAGTTTTGTCAGCAAAATCTAAACATTGGGACAAACTACTCTTCTTTTATGTCCATCCATTTGCACTTTTAAAACTCTAGTGGGTTTTTGGTTGCTTTAGTAGGAAGAGTGACATGAAGGATATGTGAATTAATTGTTTCTTTTGTGAATATTTGCAGTGTGGAACGTTATGATCCAAGTAAAGACTCCTGGGAGATGGTTGCATCTATGGCAGATAAAAGGATTCACTTTGGTGTGGGTGTCATGCTAGGATTTATTTTTGTGGTGGGTGGACATAATGGTGTTTCACATTTGTCAAGCATTGAAAGATATGACCCTCATCAAAATCAGTGGACTGTGTGTAGACCAATGAAAGAACCCAGAACAGGTAATAACAACTTACCAATTTCTAATATTTAGGACAATGCTTTTTATAGTGATGTTCTTTAAATCATAGTTTCTTGGGATATAACAGAGTATTACTTGTCCAGAAGAAACTTTTTTTGTGATAAACTTGAGGGACAACTAGATTAGACAAACCCATATAGATTTCTTTATGGGTTTCTTTATGACATTTCAATATGACAGTGTGCATATAATTTTTTAGACTTGGAGAACACATTTTGAGAAATGCTGGTAACAATGATCTGATAGAAACTCTTTTTGTCCTTGTAACAACTGTCATCTTTTTATATGTTACACACACAGGATCCTTGGATTGTTCTACTTTGTTTTTTATTGTACATCAGCAGCCTGTATGTTCACTTTCAAATGTTTTTTCCTCCTCGAGGAGTATAGTTGATCTGCAAAATAAAGTGTTGGATTTCAGGTTTCGTAGAGAAAAACAAATACATCTTTGAGGAAAAGAAGAAATTATCTCTGAGCCCAAACTCAAATCATGTTATTTTAAGGGGAAGGTTTTAAGTTACTGATGGAAAATGCTTCTGACATATTCCTTGCATTTATGTTTAAAGAAACTCCTGAAAAGTAAGCATGCAAAGAAATTGAAAGGGCAAAATGGAATGAACTATTTTAGTTGTTTACTATAATTAGTTTCTGTGGTACCATTGAGAGGGAAAGCTATAAAACAATGAGAATATTAAAAAATTGAGTAGCTTGTTCTTTTAGAACTATATATATAATAATATATAAAGTAGAATTTTTAAAGCATAAATTATATAGTTCAATATATATTTAAAATTTCAACATATTTGCAAATGATAAAAATGAATGATTTCTTGAAAAATATAAATGTAAATTGAGAAGAAAGCATATGGAAAGATATGTACTACATTAGTAATAATATTTACCTATGGTGGAGGGGAGCGCAGGATTGTGGAAGAGAGACAAAGGAAGATGTCAGCTGTTACTTTTATACCAAGGGATTTTTTTTTCCAGTAAGCACATATTACTATATTGCTTGTATAGTTAATAACAGATTGTTGAAATGTATTTTAAGAAAACATTAAGATACAAATTTACTTTTAGTGTGAAGTCTACTTCATAGTTAACATATTTTTCCCCTATTTTTACCCACCTTTCCTAGGAGTTGGTGCTGCAGTAATTGATAACTACCTTTATGTAGTTGGTGGTCACTCAGGGTCTTCCTATCTGAATACCGTGCAGAAATATGACCCTATCTCAGATACATGGCTGGATTCAGCTGGCATGATATACTGTCGCTGCAATTTTGGATTAACTGCACTTTGACAAGTGTGGACTGTGGAAATAGCGTAGTGATGAACCTTGTGCCGCATGAAAGGATGCCCAGTTTTCTGAAATCCAAAAGCTACATTGCTTCCTTTAACTTAAAATGGCATGAAGACTCAGAGTTTTGTTGGGTACTTTGTAATGACAAGTAGCTTTGGTTGCTCCTGATTACACAGTGAATCAGTCATCAAAAAAGAAAGATCTTGCCAATTGAATTGTGCACTTTTTTTTTCTAATATTGGGATAGAATAGTTTTAAGTTCATAAGCATACATGTGGAGAAAACCTTGCTGCTTTTAAAAAACATATATTTTAGCTTTCTTCCCCCTCCTTGACATGCACCATGATTACCAGGACAAAAGATGCTTAGATGCTGGAGTATATTTAGTGACTGGACAGAGGGCTGATACTGTCTGTTGGATATAAATTCACATGCTTAAAATTTTAAACAAACAAAGGGCTGCTTTTTTTTCCCTGGTACTTTTAAGGGTTGTAGATTACATGCCATAGCAAGTCATTCCTGCTAAATGGCTTTAGGGCTGGGGATGTAATAAGTTTGCAAGATAAATGCATTTACTATCATGATATTTGGGGTCCTGTTTTAAGAAGTCAGATATTTATTGGGTATGCCTTTTTTATATGGGCAGGTTAATGCTGAATAAATTTAGTTACCCATCTGTGTATGCTATGCTAAGCATGATTAGAAAGAGTTAAGCATATCAGGTTTTTTTGCTTCTGTTTTTTAGTACAGCAGGCTTCCCAGTGTTGATGTAAATATTTGACACATGTTTAGTACCCACCCTTAATGCACATTGATTTTTTTTTAATGTATCCTTACAATAATTTTAGTTTTTTAAGACTTTTGTTTGCTTTTTCAAAGTGTTCAGATATAAAAATGGTGCTAACTATAGGATCTATAACAAGTCTATAACATGTTCTTTTGGATGTTCAATGTGAGATATGCATGACATGTTTCAATAGTATTTTTCATTTTTACTGGCTTGGTTCATTTTTGCTTATTAAAAATGTTAGTCATTATACTAATGTTAACATCCAAACATCATTTTAAATGGTCTATGTTATGCTTTTCATGGTTCCTGAATAGTGATTTAAAGAAAGGTACATTTTTCTGTCTTCTTTTTTCTTGTACCAGATATTATATGCCCTTTTTAAAAACAAAAATATATGCATTAAATATAAAGCGCTAGGCAGTTACTCATTACTTTGTACATTTCTTAGGTAACTGAATATTTTAAAGGTATTGAGGAAAACTGGAACTCGATGTTTACTTAAGTAATGGTTCTAAATTCAGTTCTACTTTCACTTAAGAAACAAGCTTTTAAAGTAGAATTGTTTGCTATAGCCAAGTGATAGCTTATCTAAAAAAAAAAGAACTGGTTAACTCATTTTGTTTTAGCATGTTTTAGTAAATGTCTGTTAGTCTCGAACACATTACTTTGCATTTTATTAGAATGTCGGTACTTGTACTTTTGGTACTGTAGTCATTTTGTTTTCCTTTCCTTGATTTTTTTCTTTTTTCTTTTTTTTTTTTTTTAACTGTCTGCTATCTCTTTATAGTCTCTGCAAAACTAACGTGTATTTGTTTCCTAGGAAAAAATTCATACTGCGTTCTTAAGTGCCGTAATGTTCTAAACTATTGTTAAGAAGCCATTTGTAATTTAAAACATAGGTTCATTTGTTAACATATATGTTATCTGTTGAAAACTATTTATAGCCAGGCAGTCTGCAGTTTTCCTTGTTCTTCCATAAACTGCCAGTTGTAGATTTAAATATATACTACTATGTAAACTCATCTTTAATCATGCAGGTAGCTTCATGCTTTATGAATATTTGCACAGATTATAAAACCTTGCAAGTGATTTTTAGTCTCTTTCTAATTAAGAACTCAACAAGAGCTACTAATAAAATGGACAGGCTGAATATTTTCTATGTTGCTTGTTTGAATAACATAATGACATATAGCAATAACTTTTTAATTGATTTGAATAAATCTGTTGAATAGAAACAAGGTGCACTATTGTGATTGGCCAAGACTTTATTTAAAAGAAAGCAATTTAGAATAGATTCCATCACCTACTTAATTTTAAATCCCCAACTCAATTTTCTTTCTATTTATATCAGTCAAATTGTCAAATACATCCTATTTCACTATTTTTAATCCCCTCTCTCCAGAAGATAAGGGGATTTGAAAAACTATAGAAATTTAATTGTAAACAGATCTATACTATATGTTTTATTTTACTCACATATCATCCCCACTATCAAATTAGTATAATAATAATATCAAATTATATAATATTTGGTAAATCAGACCAAAGGCATAAGCTGATCATTGTTTTGGAAGAATCTAAGTTTCACCTTGGTGAAGGCTAAATGTGAAACATCTTGGGCAATTGTAAGAGCCATATACTAGAGAACAAATTTGAAAACCTGTGAAAGGAAAAGAAAAAAAAGTTTAGAAATGCTTATTTTAGGTTTGCTAACCCTTCTGTACTATGCGTAGCAATCAGAGATATTGTCACCTGACAATTGATAACTTTACAATAGAGCCTTCTCGTATAGATTTGTGAGAAGTTCCATCATGAATATTTTGCTGACCAATTGTGAATGTAAAGCCACGTTTCTTATATTAAAAAGGATCAAAATGTTTGATTATAAATTCCCAGGGTTAAAGATACTAGAAATAATTTTATATACTCAGGCAAGGAGGAGAAAGCTATATAAAATTGCCCAGAACTATTTTGGAAAAAGTAACAGTGGGAAATAGAAATTAATCTTATCAGTTAGAAGATATTTGCCTTCTGTAATTATGAAGACTTAATCTGTTAGGAATGTTCGGCTCTTTAATGTATGTTGAATATAGTAATAGAATCCAAGTGATTTTTAATGTAGCCCAAAGGATAGTTATATAAGTTTCATGTATTATTGCTAATACTGTTTTAAATATGAATATTACATTATAGGACATGGTATCAAGTAATAAGAGAATGGCATTAGGTTTTGAAAAATTATTTTGATAGCTTGACAGATATGGAGGGTCTACAATATGTGTGTGATACTGTGCTAGATACTACAGGGGCTAGAAATAGAAATGATACAGTCTTTTCACTCAAAGGGTAAAATATAGTGAAGGAGACCTGTACCCAAATAACTATTACAGTAAAGTGTGAATCTAATTCCTTATTTTCAGCATCAAAGAAGTGATTGGAGATCTGGTTTATGTATAAATATTTGTGTCCTTTAGTGTCCAGTTAGGTTTTATTGACATAAAAGAGAATTATTTAAAAACCTAATATTTATAGAGCTCAAACTTTCCTAGTATTGGATAATATATTTTCTAGTAGAAAAACAATTATAGAAACTTAAAAAAAACTTACTATGTTATCAAGGCTCTGACTAATGTTGAAGGAAATATATGTAAATACAATGCCGTGTTTGTTTTCAGTTTTGGTTTTGGATTTCTGGTATTGTCACCTAAGTGCTCATTTTCAGGAAAATCAGAATCTACAATAAATATACTGCTTAAAGTTCAATAAACTTGTGATAACCTCTATAACCTCTGTAGTTGAAAGTTAAGAAATTATAAAGATGTCACATGTCAAGTTAACATCCAGTTCTACTTCTTAACCCCCCCTTTTTTGTGTGTGTGTGAAACAGCACTTTAATTAGACATGATTTAATTAGATACAGTTATTCTGTGGCTGGGTATATATTGGATTTCACTTACAGTATATTGATTCAGTGTTGCCACACATTTGAAATGAGTGAGGAAAACAAGTTTTAAATACCATAGGTTTACAAGTTTTCTTACTGGTGTGAATATGGAGTCAAAATCCAGTTTACATCTCTGCAGAGAGAAAAATTGTTATCCATATGTCTTATTATATTATACGTATTTAACTAGAAATAATTTATTGTTAATTTTGTCAACTTATCATGTGTAAGTCCCATTTATTTTAAAATATTAAGCAAAAAGTTCCAAGTTTGCCTTAAAAACAAGTGAAATTAAAGAACTGGATGATAATGCCTGTATTTTTGCCTTATGAATTGTGCTGTATCATAAACCAGATATGGTTTTGATTTTAACAGGATTCTGAAATTTTGTAGATGTAGAGTACTAATAGATGTACTCTCTTGCAAAGAATGTGATCTAGTTGTGGATTATGTAACGTTTAAGTGTTTTTGTATATGTATTTTACCTCTGAATATGTATCTTTTTAGCATCAGGGTTTTATTTTATTTTTGTTTACATAGTAAAGTGGCATTTAGCCTGTTGAAGTTTATATTCTTTCGTCTTTTCTTTTAAGTTCTTTGTGTGTACTATTGTGGTAATTAATGCTCTGTGATGACTATGGTTAAATTTCATTTAATGTGAAATATTTAAAATAAATTTGCAAAACAAGACTTTGTACATTTCCATCTTTGTGAACTGACCCAAGCTAAATTTGTCATGCTCAACTCTTAGGTTCTTTTTGGTAGATAGTGGCCACAAAAGTTGAGGTGAGTGTGGGATAGCCACTCCTTTACATCCTCATTACCAGGTTATAATGAAAACAACATGCCTTAGACTAAATTCTGCCACACGTTTAGACTCTTAAAGAAACATTCATTAACAAAGCAACACATAAGAGTTCAGTTGGTGAGTTCATTGCAGTCGCAGCTATCTTTTTAGATTCTTGAACTAGCCTTATCTTATAAAAAAGGTTTACTTGAGGCAGATAAGGCAACATTCCAGAAGATTCTGTTACTTTTATGGCCAGCACCAAGTAACCAGCAGTCCTACTAAAGGATGAGCTATAAACAAAGACTTGAACCCTAGGTACCGTCTTTAAGGAAGTTGTAAACTACAGGCCTGGATAGATTCTGATAACCTATCCATATAAGGTTTGGAAATATACTTGTAGACAATCCAGTCCATATCTTGAAACTTTAATTTCACTAGTAAGAACAAGTTTTTGTTGCCATGTTAGGCATTAGGTTATCCCCCAATAAATGCCCCTGCATTTAATAAACTAATTAACAAAACATTAGATATTGATCAAATTATGGATAACAGAAGCGTTTGTAGTTGCTTTGAGCATGGGTTTCCTGGTTAGAAAGCCAGCTAACAATCCCTCAACTTCATTCTTAATGAGGACAACTCCTAAGGTAGAAGTAGAAACTTAACAGATATATACTGGAGTGTTCAAAATATTATGGATGACATATGTAAATATGCATTTTGAGAGTACATATAAAAATACTGGAAGTAAGATTTCTTGACTAGATGCTTCTAAAGTTCTGATTTTTAATTCAAAAGCAAGCAGACAGCTTACACATTACCCAGAAGTCACTGTAAAATCTGTCAGCAGTTATTAAGAGCTTAGTATGTTTAAGACATAACAGAAGGTGTAAAGGAGTGACATACCACATCCTACAATCTGAGTGAAAAAGACATGGCGGTGATCGGTGGTGGTGGTGGTGTTTTTCTTCAGGGAGGGAGAATAGAAGAGAGAATGCTACTCTGGCGGAGCTCTCGTGCTCTTTCTAAAATTACTAGATAGTTCTCTTGTTGGGGCCAGTACGGTAGTGGGAGTGGAAGTTTTGACTCAGTTTGGAAGACAATGTAATGGGTGGATTGTAGGAGTCAGTAATAGACTCAAGATGAAATACAAAAATCTGTTCCAATGGAGAGTCCAAACTCCTAAGCCTAGGAGTAGAATTGAGCTCTGTGTTAAGATAGTAAGTTCAAGTGGGTTTTCATGGGTCTTCCAGGTGTTTTTCTTCCTTTCTAATAGAAATGGGATCTCCATGTACCCATCATCCATCTTCAACAATTAAGCACATTTTGTTAATCCTACTTCCTGTTCATCTATTCACCTTATTTTTTTTTTTTGCTGGAATATTTTAAAGAGAATCCAAAACATGCAATGTAACATAACTGGGAAATAATTGAGGCCGCATCTCTAAGTAATAAGGAGACTTAAAATTTTCATTCTATAAATAACATTGTTATAATCACACTTAAAAACAATATTCTATAATATTTAACACAGTCTGCCATCAAATTTTCCTTACTGTCTCAAAAATTTTTGTTAGTTGATTGAGTCAAGATCGAAATAAAATTATTCATTGAATTTTACTGTTAATCCCTAAATCCCTTTTAATCTCTACCAGTCACTGCCCTCCTCCCCCTTTTCATGCCATTTGCTTGTTAGTAAGTGAGATTATTCAACCTGTAGATTGTCCACAACATTTTGGAGTTGGCTGATTGCTTTTTTGCGTGTTGTATAATTTACCGTCCTATTCTGCAGATTTTCTATAAACTGTCGACAGTTGGCAGCAGAGTGTTGATTAGATTTAGATCTTTTTTTTTTTTTTTGGCAAGCATAGTTGATGCTGCATGTACTTCCATACCTCCTGTTGTATTGCATCTGAAGTATATTATGTCTGGTTATCCCACTTTTAGTGATGCTAACATTAATCACAGTTTGAGTTCAGTTGTCAACCTGATTCTTCATTATAAAGTTCCCCGCCAAACTCAGACCTGATGTCTTAGCAGCTATTAGTGACTACTTCTGGATCCATTATCATATTAAGTTGTAAAATAGTAATTTTCTAACTCTGCCATTCCTTTTGCATTTATTAGCTGGGGTTCAGGAAAGGAAAGCATTTCTTCATCACTTATTTGGTTACCTTGAGATAAGATCTATACAGGAAAGGCTGAGGGAAATGTGTGATTCATTCCTTTCTCAGTCTTTTTTTTTTAACATTTTTTATTGAGTTATAGTCATTTTACAATGTTGTGTCAAATTCCAGTGTAGATGACAATTTTTCAGTTATACATGAACATAAATATATTCATTGTCACATTTTTTTTGCTGTGAGCTACCACAAGATCTTGTATATATTTCCCTGTACGATACAGTATAATCTTGTTTATCTATTCTACATATGCCTGTCAGTATCTACAAATTTGAACTCCCAGTCTATCCCTTCCCACCCCCCTCCCCCTTGGCAACCATAAGTTTGTATTCTATATCTATGAATCTGTTTCTGTTTTGTATTTATGTTTGTTTGGGTTTTTTTTTTAGATTCCACATATGAGCAATCTCATATGTTATTTTTCTTTCTCTTTCTGGCTTACTTCACTTAGAATGCCATTCTCTAGGAACATCCATGTTGCTGCAAATGTTATGTTGTCGGTTTTTATGGCTGAATAGTATTTGTATAAATATACCACATCTTCTTTATCCAGTCATCCGTTGATGGACATTTAGGCTGTTTCCATGTCTTGACTATTGTAAATAGTGCTGCTGTGAACACTGGGGTGCAGGTGTCACTTTGGAGTAGGGTTCCTTCTGGATATATGCCCAGGAGCAGGATTCTTGGGTCATATGGTAAGTCTATTCCTAGTCTTTTGAGGGATCTCCATACTGTTTTCCACAGTGGCTGCACCAAACTGCATTCCCACCAGCGGTGTAGGACCGTTCCCTTTTCTCCACAGCCTCTCCAGCATTTGTCATTTGTGTACTTTTGAATGATGGCCATTCCGACTGGTGTGAGGTGATATCTCATTGTAGTTTTGATTTGCATTTCTCTGATAATTAGTGATATTGAGCATTTTTTCATGTGCCTTTTGATCATTTGTATTTCTTCTTTGGAGAATTGCTTGTTTAGGTCTTTTGCCCATTTTTGGATTGGGTTGTTTGTTTTTTCCTTATTGAGTCGTATGAGCTGCTTATATATTCTGGAGATCAAGCCTTTGTTGGTTTCATTTGCAAAATTTTTCTCCCATTCTGTAGGTTGTCGTTTTGTTTTACTTCTGGTTTCCTTTGCTGTGCAGAAGCTTGTAAGTTTCATTAGGTCCCATTTGTTTATTCTTTCTTTTATTTCTATTGCTTGGCTAGATTGCCCTAGGAGAACATTTTTGAGATGTCCTTTCTCATGAAAACTCCTAGAAGACTCCAGAGGTGATCAAGTATCATAAACTCATGATTTTGTAATATATTTATTTGAATGCATGTGTTTCAATCAACACATCTTAAGCCAGTGGATACTTCCTTTAAGTTCCATTGAAAGCCTCACTGCTTTTAAAGAATTATTTTGATATAACTTAATGATAAACTTACAGAGAAGTTCTAAGAATAATACAGAAAGTTAGTATATATCTTTTTCAAGGTACACCAATTTTTGACATTTTGCCACATTTGTTTTATCACCCTTTCATATGTAAAGCACTGTTTTTCAACTTTTTTTCACTTAATATATTCTGCAGATTATTCCATATCAGTATATGAAGATAATTCCCAATCTTTTTTATAATTGCATAGCACCTTAGTGTGTAGATAGATCATAAAATTTTTAACCAGTCTCATGCTGATGGACATTTGGGTTGTTTTTAGATTTCTGCATTTACAAATAATGCAGCAGTGAATAGCCTTGTGCGTTTGTCATTTTGTGTTTTGGGCATAGATTTTTAGAAGTGGAATTGCTGGGCTAAAGTGTAGATAATATGGAATTTTGCTATATCTTGCCTGTTTTAGCTCAGGCTGCAACAGACAATACCTCAGACTGAACAGCTTATAAACAACATATTTATTTCTCAAAGTTCTGGAGGATGGAAGTCCAAGGCCATGGTGCCATCATGATCAGGTTCCAGTGAAAACCTCTTCGGGGCTGCAGTCTGCTGACTTCTAGTGTCCTCACGTGACAGAGTAGAGGGGGGGAAGTGAGGTCTCTCATGACTTTTATAAGGACCCTAATCTCACTCATGAGGGCTCCATCTTCATGACCTTATCTAATCGTCATGACCTCCCAAAGGCCTCACCTAATACCAACACATGGAGTAGGGCAGAGTTTCAGTTTTCATATGTTGAAGAGACACAAACCTTCAGTCTGTAACATTGCCCAATTGGCCCAAGAGGTTGTACCATTTTGCATTCCCATCAAAAATAAACAAGAATACCTTATAGGCTGTTTTTATTAGTTTACCTACTCAGTGTTGTATTAAAAGGTAACACTTGGCCTCAGGTTCTTTTTGGTTCAAATTATGTCTAACACTGAAATATAATTAAAGAAATGAAAAGCTGCTTATTTTTAGTGTGCATGAAAAATGCCTAAAATCCCTTATTAAGTAAGGAAGGATCTAAATAAGAATGAGCCAATCACTTTTGTCATCCTGATCAGGCAGAAAGTATTGGAAAGGATGTTCTTGTGTGTGCCCTGAGGACAGTTAAGAATTTAAGTAAGCAGGGGTCCTAGAATCTAATAGCATAGGTGTTTCCCAATGAATAGAGGACTCTGTCTCCAAAAGTTTTAAAGCCAGATCGGGGTAAACTATTTTGGACAGTATCTGGTGAATAAACAATTTTGAGCAGGAACAAGATGTGGTATTTCATTATTATTTTAGTATCTAGGAAAATTTACGCTGTTCACTTTTTTTAAATTGAGGTATAATTGATTAACAATGTTGTATTAGTTTCAGGTGTACAACAAAGTGTTTCAGTTATGCATATATGTATTCTTTTTCTGATTCTTTTCCATTACAGATTATTACAAGATATTGAGTATAATTCCCTGTGCTATACAAAGCTATTCACTTACCGCCAACATTTTAATTTTTGCTTTATTTGTTTTTGCATTTCAAGCTAAGTCATGAATTTAACAATTTTTTACTGTTTTAATATTATAATTTGTTCTGTGAGCTTATTAGCCACAGAAATACTAGTGATGGTATTTCTAGCAATGGTTGGTTTTCAGCCAACAAGCTTGAAATATTCGCACAAAATTTAGTTCATTTTCTGAAGTCCACTACTTACCCACTAATTTTATTTCTTAACAGAATATTGAAACAGGAATCAATAATAATCTTAGTGAACATTTTCATGGTGCTTACTATGTGCCAGGCACTAAGTGCTATATATAATAATTCATTAACTTTTGACCACAACCTTATGAGCTGTATCCTATTATTACCTCCATTTTACAGTTAGGAAACTGGAAATAGAGGGGTTTAGTCATAGGACCAAAGCCACACAACCAGTGAAAGAGGCCAACTTTGGACCCAGGCAGTTTAGTTTGATTCTAGACATTTAACTGCCATATACTTACTTCTCCTTGACAACAAGAAAATCAGTTGAGAACTGATCATAATAAAGATAATCCAGTGGTAATATGATTACATAACCAGGTTCACCTCAAAAGTCTGAAATTCTAATATCTTTTTCCTGTGGGAAGAATGTCAATCCCGAGTCAGGGCTTCTGGCATTTCCATAAACTCTCTAGGGACAGGAATTCCTAATCCTTTTTAAAGAAGAGGTGAGGAAAGCAGAGATGAAGCCAGAAAACATGAGGGTTGTGGACACGACGAAGAAACCCCAGGAGTCGATTCACAGACAGAATTTGAGCTGGGTTGTTGTTGGCAGAGAGCATAGCCAACCTCCTCAAAGGCATCACCACTGTATGTTATTCCCAAGCTGTGAGTGTGGATACTGTCATAGAATGGAAGGAAAATGAGACTTGCCTTACCCAAATTACAAAGTAGGTTAGCACTTTAAGGCCAGAAAGTTCAAATGAACTTTCCTTTACGTTCTATACTGAGGAGCCTCTGCCACCTAGTGTTCATGTAGAAAATGGCAAGGGTTGGGAATCAGCAATCCTGTCCCTCCACGAGTCCAGGAGTATTAAAGAGAACCTGTCCCCACGGCCCTCTCACTTTATTCTCAAGTATTTTTCCCTCCTACGAGAATTAGAAAATATTTGATACAATTATTTCTTGTGGATAACTTCAGCTACAGTGAATTTCTTTTAAAATCTGATGGTGTTTGAAATTTGTTTTATCTTTAATTTCAGGATTTGTAGCTTTCTATCGGAAATTAAAAGTGGTTAGGCTTTGGGGTTAGATGTATAGGCAGTAGGACCATACATTGCCCTTGAAATCTCAAGTTGGACAATCTGTATTCTCTTTCCTCTACAACCTCTTCCAAGGATGCTAGGCAGCTACTGGGAAAGGACTGTTTCAAAAACCTCACATCACGGTGAGCTGGCTGGGGAAATCTCTGCCCAAGCAGGCTAAGCTTGGTTTGGGAGCTACAAAGCTGGAGCAAGTTAATAGCAGACATACTTTCTCTGCAGCCTGTATGTAATACGTACTCACTATCTATTATTTGCTAGTTGAATTAGAAATGATTTCTGCCCTGGAGATGTGCACGTGTCTAGAATGTGGAAAAGGTGAGTCAATCAATGGTGACTGTACAGAGGGAAGTCCTCTGGCATGTTCAGCTAGCCGTTTCCTTTCAGCTTCCACCTGGTCTCTTCTTGACCTGAGTACAAGTCAGCTCTCCTGTGCTTCCTGCCTTCATCTCCCCTCCTCTCCTTTCCTTCTGCCCTAACATTTCCATATGCTGGGTGTGCAGAATTATTTATTGTTCCCTCAGCCAGCTTTTACAAACCCCCTCAGCCAGCTTTTTCCTACTCTACCCTTAAAGCAAGCTAATTATGATCAATGTATTTTTTAATTGAAGTATAATCAGTTTACAATGTGTCAATTTCTGATGTACAGTCATACATACATACATATATACATATTCCTTTTATATTCTATTTCATTGTAGGTTACTATAAAATATTGAATACAGCTCTCTGTGCTATACAGTAGAAAGTTGTTGTTTGTCTATTTTATATATAGTAGTTAGTATCTGCAAATCTTGAGCTCCCAACTTATCCTTTCCTACTTCCTTTCCCACTGGTAAACCACAAGTTTGTTTTCTATGTTGGTGAGTCTGTGTCTGTTTTGTAAATAAGTTCATTTATGTCCTTTTTTTAAGATACCACATATGAGTAATATCATATGATATTTTTCTTTCTCTTTCTGGCTGACTTCACTTAGTATGATGATCTCCATTTCCATCCATGTTGATGGACCTTTAAGTTGCTTGGTTATTGCATATAGTCCTGCTATGAACACTTTCCTCTAGACGTTTTGTTGTGCTGATTACTTTTATCGTCCCTATGCTGGCCCCCAGGAGTATACATTTCTTTCTCCAAAGTCCCCACTCCTTGGTTCTTGGTTCTCTTCAGTACTATGGAACCAGGCTGGGCTTTTCAAAAAATCTTTACCAGTAGAAACCAATGATTATCATTGGGTGGAGAAATCATGGATGATCACTTTTCTCTTTACACTTTTTTTGAGTTTACTGAATTCTTAGTGATTTATATATGATTTTTCTTATCATATTAAAATTTAGACTTTGCAAAATTCAAAGGGAAAACAAGCAAGTTAGGAACATGTAGCTAAGCATACAACAGCAGGTTTCTAATTCTACCAGGCTGTTGTCTACACAGCTCATTGGGTCCCCAAGCTCTTGTTCTACACCACATCAGTTTTGAGGGCTCCATCAGAGCAGCTCACTTTTTAATTTTTAGCGATACTCCTCTTGATACCTTACAGACGTCACTGAGAAAGCAAGGGATGGATTATGGAACTGATTGCTCATTGAGGGTATATAATCTAATACAGAACCTCAGGTAGATATCAGCATATAAAGATATCGTCTAGCTACAGAGGCCTCCTCACTTTCTCAATTTCCCAGAGAGGGAACAACAAAGGTTGTTTTCTCTGGGCTCAAATTCTATTTGAAATTAAAGGCTGATAGTGAGCCTTGGGCCAGTTGGGTGGGTAGGAACCTGTTAGTACGGCATTGTTCAGATGAACTTTAAAAGCTACGTGATTTTAGATTTTGATTTTAACAAAGGAAGATGAGAAGAATATAAGTGTTTGCTTAGGTTGTGGTTTCATAGTACTAATTGCAGTCATTTTTACAGAAACTGTGTACTTTCCCTGCTTACTTATGGTGCATTATAATTATTGTCAAATAATTAAATGTCATTAAATAATTTAATTATAAAGTTAAAGTGCTGGTATGCTCACACGTACAGCTTTTTGTTTGTGTGTCATAGTAGTCATCTGCTTATATAGTTTGTCTGATCCTACTCTGTGAAGAGTGAACTGGAACCTAGGATTCGCCCTAGTAAGCATGCCTGTGATAGTTATCTTTAGTTTCGCTTCTTCTTTGATTGGATCAGATCCAGTGACATGGCCTCAGACGTTAAGTCAATCCTAATAATAATGAAAAGCTACTGTGAAGGGAACATCTAGGATTATTTGCTACATTTGAAGGAGAGTCATGTTTCTTTTGCTGAAGAGAAGTTGGAAATTTCTCCTTAAATGTTGGAGATTTCTCCTTAAGTTTGCTTTATTTGTTCTTCATCCCCCTTCGATTGAGGCCAAAGTTTAAAAATCATTTCTGCTCTCCCCGTAGATATAGTTGTGGTTTATGGCCTTTTGATTAAAAATATATTCTGATTATTCCCTCACATCTTTTGCCCCCTCCCCGCCCCAGCATCTGATTTCTCTAAGGGCGTTTAAAGTTATAAAGAATTTTCCATACCCTCACCTTCACATTCTGCAATAATCTTGTTTACTTCATTCTTTTACACCCTTTTTCACTATTTGGTCGAAGGGGATAATTTCTTCTTTCTACTAGGCAACTACCACCATATCAAATACCTATTATCCTTAAATCCTAACCATCTGGGGTCCAGAAGGCATACTTAAATTCCATTACACATTAAATCCATTACTGATTATGAGCTACCGCTTACATAAATAATTTTAAAAAATCTTAAGAGCTCATTAGTAAGAGAGAATCTAGGACACTTGCCTGTACATAAAAGAGGTAGAAAAATATGTTTTTTTATTAGCATGTTCAAGGTAGTCAAGATATTAACAAACATTTTAATCCTCACAACAACCCTGTGAGGTAGGTAAGTCATTGTTTCATGATAAACTAGTATTATTCCAAAAAAGTGCAATTCATAAAAGAATAAATCTGCGTTAGGAATAATTTTGTTAATACCATGTATATATATATATATATATGCGCTAATATTTGTGTTTTTGTATACTTTGAATCATGCAGTAAGGTGTCCCCAGAAAAGTTTCCTCTAAAGCAAATCCTATTTAAATATATGTGGGAAACTATTAAAATAAACTCTGGGGTGAATTTTTAATAAAATAAATCACTATTTTGAGCAAATACTACAAATATTTCTTTTTTACATAAGATAAAAAGGCATTCTCATCAATGCTGCACCCACATTTATCCAATCTTCAGTAAGTTATCTATGGCACCAAAGCAATGTAAGACTTAATTTATTGAATCAAACTTTAGCAATTTAGTATCTGGCAGTGAACTGTGTTGCTGTGTAGAAATCTCCAAATTTGCACTCAATCTCAAACCAAAAGCTAGAGTGGACTGTTTAATAAAATGTAAACACTAAAAGAGTGATAGATTTTAAAAAAGTATTTCCCCTTGAGAATATTACTTAGTTAAGTTTGTTTTTCCTTTAAATTGCAAAAGGAAGAGAGATCATGGGGTCTTTGAAAAGAAACATAATATTCTGATCACTATAAAATTCTGGTGATTTATACTGCAAATCAAAGAAAGCCTCATGCTATCAATTTACTACTTACAGGGGAGCACACGGATGTTACTCCAAAAATTTAGGTATTTTTTCCTCTGTGCCAATATGACTTACTAGGAGGAGAAATATAGTTGACCCTTGAATAGCACGGGTTTGAACTGTGTGGGCCTACTTTTACATAGATTTTTTTTTCAATAAATACGTACTGATCCAAGGTTGTTTGAATCCAGTGATGCAGAACCACCAATGTAGAGGGCCAACTGTAAAGTTACATGGGGATTTTTGACTGGATGGGCAGTCAGTGCCCCAGCCCTCAAGTTTTTCAAGGGTCAACTGTATTCCCAGGCACCCATTTTCTCCTAAATATATATTTAAAGTACATTTCCATTGTTAAACATTAGTAAACATACAGTATGCCTAATTTTTAAAATAAGTCTTATCTGTAAAATAAATTTTTAGAGACTTTCCACTACATTTAATTATAAATATTTAGATTAGTTATACAATTGATTTGTAACAATAACTTTAATTAAGCTTGGGAGCTTAGTTAATACTTAAAATCTGCTGGTAGGTTTTTAATAGTTTACCAAGTGGTTAAAGTAATTTGCCATTATAAAGAAGTAATTCAAGTCCAGAAAAACATTCTCACCAAAGTATTTTAAGGACTTGCTCCAGGGACACTAGGCAAATCAACAGGTAAAACAGACTAAGCCATCTCGAAGTTGTACATTCAAATCCATACCAGATCCAATAGTGCACTTTGGATTCCAGTGAGGTAGGGCAAATAAATATAGTCAGATACATTTTGAACTGTTAAATTTATATAAACGGAAAACTGACTTGTACCCAGGTTTTATATGGATATCCAGAAAGAAAAACTGAGAATTTAAATGATGAAATATTGTCTTGGATTCAAAGACAGAATTGTAAAAAACCTCTGAGGTACATATAAATAAAAAATACAAATGCTACAAGATATATTTTATTTCAACATAAAATATGCTTGTATAAAAATAACCCAGAATATAGAAAACAGAAATACAAACATTTTTGCATAGATTCTCGATATAAAACATTTGCCTGGGGCTCAACACTAGAAAATACACCTCTGAAACTAACATAGTTGAACTATTTCCTTGGATACCAAGTACATACAAAAAAAAAGCCCTTCATCTGGGGGAGCATGGGCAGGAGGGAAAACAATTTAATTTAGCATCAGTCTATATTTATTTCTCTGTTGCTCGAATATAAACCAATGATGACAAGAGAAGAAACTCTGGGGGTTTATTTAACAAAATTAAATTCACATTTCTGAGGCCATCATAGTGCATCCAATGTCCATCAATTTGGAAAGCTGCAGAATAATGGTGTTCCTCTTTGTTAAATAATGTGGCACCTTCCAACAAATACCTGCAAATTAAACGACAAAGTGTAGCCGAAAATCACAATGCTTTGTTCCTAAGAAATTAAGAAAAATGTTTCTTAAATTCTTAACTAAGGACTAAAAAAACAGATTATTTGCATTCTATTCTCTGAAAAAGATATCCTTCTGTAAAAATCATGTACTATAATTCGTTACGTGGAGTAAGATGTTTAAGAATTTAAAAAACCTATCTAATTTAAGAATTTTAAAAAGCATATTTTAACAGGTTAACTCATAACTTGCATGGCTCCATTACAGATGAGAAAACACACACAAAGAAACTTCTAAAGGCAAAAAGTTAAAACAACCCTGGGCGTCCTAATTTGCATGTAGATATTTTAATCTAATGATGACAGTAACATTTTATGCTTAAGTGATGACCTCATACTACTCACACTGCTGTGACTTGAAATACAAGTAATAGCCAGCCATTTTTACTGACTGTTTTCTGTGACTCAGATACTATCCTAAACACTTTACACGTTCCATCTTATTAAATGCTCACAAAAATGGCACCAGATACTGTCATCTCTGTTTCATAAATAAGAAGATTGATGTGTTACTTGGTTAAGTTACTGGCTCAAAGTCACATAGCTTGTAAGGTGGGGCTGGGATTTGAATCCAATTCTGTGTAGTCTAAGCACCTAACCACTCTGCACACTGCCAGCAACTGACCCCCTGCAGTAGATTCTGATCTCAGTCAGGACACATAAATTTAGAAATAGCTAGGGGATTTTCAACAATATGTATTTCCTTAAGGGCTAGTAAAAATCATGATGGAATAGCAGAAAAATGTAAGATAAATCTATTTTTTTAAATTGGTTTTCTAAGAATGAACAAAAAACACCTACTTGTGATCAGATAAATCCAAGTAATAGGGTACATATGCCAGATCTTCAGATTTCCAATGCTGCATATTTAAGACAACAAAAGGGGGTGCCCCGTGGCAGAACACTCGTTGGGAAAATTCTCTTAAGCCACCACACCTAAAATTGAAAATAGGCATGAACTTTATTACACTTAAGACAAAGCTGCCTTTATCACTCTGAGTTGTCTTTACTACATAACTAAAATAGTTATGCTTATTATGACTATATTAATGTCTTATATACCTAATTCTCAGAGTTTATAAGCAGTGAAATTCTATATGTAAGAAATGATTCTTTTAAAACTCCAGGAAAAACTATTTTTATTTAAGCTTATAAAAGCATGTAGTCTTTTGAAGTGATATCAAAGTTTTTATTTGTAAATACATTTCTTTCTCTAAGCTGGTTTCAAATGGGAATAACGGCAGAAAGGGAGTAATATGACTCTTACAGTCATCTATAGACTGGGTAAAATTCCCGAGTTGCTTCCTTTTGCCATTAGGATGAAGCAAATTCTGTTTTCTTAGTAGTATCAGGTATTAAGCATATGGATCAGAATAAAACAAAAACAATTATACAGTAAAATCTCGATTAACCGGAATGCTCAGGGCACAGCATTTTGGTTAACAAACACTGACTAAACTAAGTTACCAGAAAACCATTATATTTTAGTATTCATTGCAAAAATACACTAGTTCACTTCCTGGATTTAAGTACAATTAAATGAAGGTATTTTATTCTTTCCTTCTTTTGTGATTGATTAGGTGTATGATCATCCTTCCAAATACTAATCTATTTTTGGCCTGGGGGAGGTAATTAGGTTTATTTATTTAGTTATTTTTAATGGAGGTATAAAATTTGTTAAGAGACTGGGATAAAAATGTTCAGCTCCTTTGGATTTGTTTTTTTTTTTTGATTATGTTAAACTTTTTGGTTGTCATTTACCTCTTTCTCCTAAATGAGGAGTGCAGAAAAAAATCCAGTTAATTGAGGGTCTCGATTAGCTGGGTTCCGGTTAACCGAGGTTTTATTGTACCTACTCAGCAGTGGGGAAAAAGAAAAAGCATTTGCTTTGTATTCATCAAGTAACTGCAGTATTATATTCTATACAGTGGTATTGATAATGACAATACAGCACAAAATGGCATAGTAAACTAGAAGGTGTTAAGATTCCAAAAATATTAGGCTTTGTAAATACTTACGAATTGCTATTTCATAAAGTATTAACATCAAAGAGCACAGCTGTCCAGGTTTCTTTATAAAAAAAACAGAAATACTTTCATCTTAAATGTCTATCATATACTCACCCACGCTCCTCACACAGTTCAATCCTGGAACAGAATAACTCATCCACAGCCAGTCGTATCAAGTTTCCATGTGGAATTTCTTGGGGAGGACTAAAACAATTGCAAAATGAATGTAATAACTGCTTCCATATTTTACATGTAAATACATTATTAGGATAACAAATTTTACGGGTCAGCTCATTATTAGTAAACCACATATAAACGTATAACCTCTGTTATTCATCTTTGTATTTCTTGACAGTAGAGAAAACAGTTGAACTTCAAAAACTCATGCATGAAGCTTTCTAAAAAACATTAAATCTTTCTATAAACTGATCCTGAAACATGCAACTGTCATTACTTTAAAAACTTCCAAGAGGATTCAACAGAGGGGATTCTGTCTTGGCAGAAAAAAGCAGGACCCCAAATTAGGAGAGCAGCTAATTAGTCACCTGACTCAATGCAATTGTTGGCCTCAGTTTTCTGATTTGTTAAAAACATTTTTTCCTACATACTTCAGAGGTTGTTTTAAATATAGGATTGAAAAACAGGCAAAAGACTTAAAAATTCATTAAGAGAAGCATAAATACTCGTGTTAATAAATGATTGAAAATATTTCATCATAGTTTCAAAACGTATACAAATTAAAAGATATTTGTTTTTTGGAAACAAGACAAATTTCCGAAACACTTTTTAGTCCATTATAATTCAAAGTAACAGAACTTTTTCCGCTGATGGACATTTCAAAATCAACATCATCATATCAGCAATATAGGAAAATGGACAAGGTGTATTTCAAGACAACAGAGACATTAATTGGTAGACTCTAAAAAGTATAACATATCTTCAGCTTTCCCTAAGTAGCATGATGTTACAATATGAAACTAAATATGCTATACGGAAAATGTGAATTTGTCCAGGTACATAATGTTCATTTCCCAAAGGGAACAATCTAGCTATTTTTCTGGACCACAGAGCCAAATACGCTTTCTGACAACAGTGTGTTTGGGTCTCTCTCCTGTCCTGTTTTTTTCCACTGGCAAGGATCTGTTTTCCAGCTCCTGTCCCCTGGGGACTTTTAATGTTTCCCAATACTCTACTAAAGCTTGCCAGTTGGGCTTTCCTCCCTGTCATTTACCAGCTTGGAGGTGTGCCTTCTTTTTGAAAGCCAGAATGACTCAGCAGGCTACCAGCACCTTTCCTAGCCAGTGAAAGTCTCTGAAATCCATGTACTCTTCAGATATTAATATTTCATTTTTGGGGGTTTCTGTCTCTAATTATGCCCTGGCCACAATGGGGAGTACTTTCAATCTTCCTGTTCATGTAGAACTAGCTGAGCCGACAGAGATCCACTCACAGAGTGAAAGATTCCAATACAGTATTAGGTGTTGTTCAAGAGGTTCAGTTTGTGACACAAGGAATTATCTACATAGTCATATTAGTAAATTCAGAGCAAAACATTTTGCACACTGAATAGTTCATTACTTTACAAGTGAAATAGTTACCAATTGATTTTGTAAATTCTGAGATGTTTGGATGTAACACAACAGTAACATTTTTGTCATGGGACCTACTAAAGAGTCTTGCATTTGTGTGATTGCTTTATGTGTGCTAATACACAGTCTGTACTTTAAGAAGTACTTTGACTATATCTATCTGCCTATCTGTATGTGTCATTCATTATAAAAAAGTATACTTAAATTTTTTTTAATGTTTAAAATTTTTCTTTTTTTAGAGGGGAAAGTAATTAAGTTTATTGATCTATTTATTTTTAATGCAGGTACTGGGGATTGAACTCAAGACCTGATGCATGCTAAGCAGGTGCTCTACCACTGACCTAAAACCTTCCCCTAGAAGTATGCTATTTTTGCTAGAAGTGACTAAACACGTTAGAGCAACTTACTTTATGTTAATTGTGCGCTGCTGATCTTCCTGCACTCGAGTTGGGCATCGCCAGTTGGAACAGTAACTCTCTTGTATGGTAGACATGAGATTTTCCAGATTTTTTGTAAAATTATCATGCTCATTCCCAAACAAATCAATTATTAATGAAGCTTTATGAACTTCAGATTTATACTGCTGTTTTTCCATCTTGTCCCAAATCCAAAGTAGCTTCACAGTTGTAAAGCTGTAGGTGTCCATTAAATAAAGAAAACAGTCCACAAACTCTCTACCTAAATGAAGAGAGAGCTCCCTGGGGAAATTTTCGTTTTCATTGAGAATGACATACAATAACATCAAGAATCCATCGATGGTGCAGGTATTTTTCAGTCTTATTTCAACATAGAGTGGTGTACAGGATACTGCTTTGCGGCCAGCTTTGATAGTAAAAACACCTCCCCAGGGAAGAACAGGCCTCCAAAATGAGCGATCTTGGTTATAGTTATTTTTAATTGATGCTTTGATCTCTTCAAACAGTGTCTTCATCCTGCATTTTCAAAGTTTAAAATAGTACTTGTAAATTTGTGACTTCACATTTTAAATGCATGAGACATATTTAAGTGAGAATAAAGCCATCTAAAGATTCCAATTAAATTTGGTAGATGGGCTCCCAAAGTAACAACAACAACAAAAAACACAATTTGAGCTATGAGCCATCTTTTGGCAATATGCATGATCTCTGGAAAGGCCATTTAAGAAGCTGAAACCTTTTTTTGAGGTACAGAATGGTCATTGGATAGGATTTTATATTAACTGTATTGCAGATTTTATCATTAATAGAGGAAAACACTGTGATAAAAAATCCTGAATAAAAATAAAGCTACTGAAAGATACAATCCTAATTTGGTTGCGTGTATTTCTAACGTAAATTTCTTCATTCCTCCAAAATACAAGCTGTGCTTCATTTTCTTGTTAATATGTGTGGTTCCACATATGAAAATGATATAATGGAATTCTTAGTTGGGCTACAGAATAATGGCCAATTGGCTTTGAAAGACAGCATCTGAAGAATAATCAGGAGAACTTAACTGAATAGTAGCACAGCTAATAAAAAAATCATTTCTATGCACTTTGGGATTTTTACTTGCAATTTAAGACCATGCTAGCTATCCTGTGATTTTAACTACAGAGGCCATGCTGTGATGATCTGATTCTTGATAATTATCCTGATGCCCCTCTCTGCATGCTTTGGGAATGAACTGAAGTGTCCTCACTATTTAAAATGGCACCTATATCTCCCCTAGCCTTGAGGACAGCTAAACACTTTTTAAAAAAAATCATTGACAGTATTCTAATAAGCATGTTGGTGTCATCTGTATATAAATAAAGCAAAATTTAAAAAAATTAAAGAATGAGGTCCTAATAAAACTGAACTGAAAAAAATTGCTTTACTTTATTCGGGGTAATCAAATGATTAAACTAAAAACATCACAGGGTTTCCTAATATGTTACCTTAATGGAAAAGTGTTTTTACATGAAAAAGGGAAACATCTGAATAGAAACAGAGGAATTAGTGACTGACATCAGGGTCTTTTGATTATCTTTTCAAGTACCACATCCTCCCAAGCTCAATGCTGCAGACCTATGTGTTTTATTTGTGTGAAAAATTAAGTTCAAACCGACTTTGCAACACTAGCAGACTAAAAATTTTATCACACACAGAGTATTTTCGACTAGGCAAGATACTGTGGACTCTAAAATATTCAACACTATATTTAGTCTGAAGTGTAGATGTTTATATATAGTTGCTAACATGTCAGCTCTAGTCAACCAGTTAGGAATAAGAGGGGGTGGCAATTCTAGAGCCTAGAAAAACACAAACTCAAGTTTCTTCTTAATAGGAACTGACATGTTTAGGAGCTATTTTTTAAAAATCATAGGGCATTTAAATACTTTGAAAATAACTTTCTTTATGGTTTGATTGATTTTTGTTGAATTTTAAAGAATTTTGTAGCAAGGTCGTATGATTAAGAGCCTGAGTTCAGATTTCTAAATATTGTATTGGAAAGAAACTGTAAATCTCTGTAGTATTTCTCGCCAAATTATCTTTTAGACACGACCAAATGAGTAACTATAGGTCTGTAAAGTAACAGTTACACTTCGGGAGAATTAAACTACAAATATATATATAAACTACATATGTGTATTAAAAATACATACACACATAAAATGAAACTAACTTCTTTAGGCTTTTTCTATGGAAAAAAAGGGGGGAGGATAAGAGAGAATTGAAAAAAACTAGAGGACACCTAGTCTAGCTGCTTCAGTAACGTGATATGCCCCAAAGTAAATTACAATAAAAATGACTAAAAAAGATGGAGAAATGGCTGCAAACAGCTTTACTTAAAATTGTCTTTAAGTTTGGCCACACCTTCGGAAACATAGTTTCGTTACGCACTGATTTAGAAGCCCTGGAGAAAGTATCCTGCTGGCTTCATTTTCCAGCCTCAACAAGCCCTCTAGTTTCAATAAACCCAGAAAACTCCCCCGACTTCTATTTTCTTGGCAAAACGACACCTTCCTTCTGCGGTCATTTCCACGGGTGGCAATCTGTACTCCACGCTGGTCGTGAGGGCCAGTCCATCTGACGAAGGCATTAAGTGCCGGAATCCCTAAGAGCTCGGGGGTCCTAAGTACCCTCCCTAGTCAGCGCCCCGAAATAATCCGGAAAAGGGGCCCGCGCT